AAATGCCGTTGTTCATTGGCCCATTTAAACGACGGGAGGTGCTGGTCCAATTGCAGGGTCGCCGTTCCTACGCTGTTGTAGCTGAAGTCTATTTTGAAGGCGTATACACGCGAGGGCAGGTTGGCAGTGATGAGTTGAGCAAGGGTTTCGTAAAACTGAAGAAAAAAACAAGGCTCTATTTGGAATTTAACACGCATCTTTTAGGGTAAGTGTACAATACGAGGCTAAAAGGTGCGAATGTTTAATTTTACCAAATGGAAGTGGGAGCTTCGTAGACTGGTTCTTATGAACAATCTTTGCTCACTCTATAATTCACCATGAGTAATAGACAGGGGCAGTATACTTTAAGACCTATTCTGGGCGTTGCTCATCAATTTCTCATTTTGCGGTCTAAAGAAACCTTTACTAGGCATTGTGTGGATGAGCTAAGAAACTATGGGAAGAAGCGAGACATCGAAGGTGGTCATATTTCACATAATAAGTCCAATTAACTACTGACTCTGTCGAAAATATGGAAAAAAATCATAAGATTAGGCTACGAAATCAATTAGTTTAATAATCATCATTCAGTCGATAAATGTAGGCTTTTTCTGCACGTCTGTACACTGCGAAAATTATTTACTCTAAACTGTCTTTCAGTTCCCTCCACTAAGTATTACAAGCCGCGTAGCAATGCGATTATTCTCCCACTTAAGCAAAGGAATAAAATGATAATCCTGTGGGGGTTGAAGTTTTCAGGTTAATTCATGTATCCCGCTGTTTCATAGCTGCTTCAGGATACGTTCGGAGACCATAGCTCATGCCGAATGCTCATTTGTGTCCCAGTCACCCTCTAATCTCCCATCTCGGCAGGGAGTTTCAGCATACGAAATTGTTGGCTTCTTGGATGCCTACCCGAGACGGTGCTGACCAGGGCTACAAGCCTGAGTTGGCCCAAGTCCGCGTGCAACGCTCAATCGTTCACCTCTTTTGACTGGTAGCACGCGTGCACTTGTATGCCGACGCATTTCCGGTCTGGCCAACCACCTCCCTGAAGCTGACTTACACATGACCTCGTTGAAGATGCTTGTGCCGACTTCCGCGCTCACAAGCTTTGGAGACGAGTGATTTTACACTCTTCCGACAGTCAACTTTTTCTAACCTATTCTCCACTACTTCTGTACAGAATAAACTATCCGGTGTCTCAGTTTTTGTCTTCTCATTACGGAACCGGACCTGAACATCGCAGCGACTAGAGTTTTTACCTGCTAGCCGAATGCGATAAGCCTATTATGCTGTAGCCTGTCTCAAGCAAATTAGTTAACCAACCTGCTCCTCCTCATAAACGTCATAATCGCCAGGAGCCTGGAGAAGGCGCGCTCTTGGATCAAGATCCATTTCCTCGTTCCCAGTTCGATTTTCAGTCAGTTGCTTTTCGCTCAACATACTGACCACTCTTCGAATTGTAGTCTTCGCATTAAACAGCTTTGCCGTCTGTAATGATGGGGCCAGGAGGGCGGCTGCAAAGTAATCTGCCACGTAGTAGTCGTCAATGTGACTGGCAGCACCAGGAACAACAAGAGCTGGCCGGCCCTTAATGAAGGCTTTCATTGACTGGAGCGCGCGTGGGCTGTATTTGAGCAGACTTGATAGACAGAACGGTGGACATCCGGGTTTCTGAAGAGATGAGAGGGAAGCCCCGGAAAAAGTAATAATTGTCAGGAGACTACTCCAAACTCCTTTCGCTTATGCAAAAAAGAGTACTAGAGGAAGCCGCGTTCAAGCGAGGCTATTCAAAAACATTCTTGCAAGGAGGCAATAAGAAGCATAGTTCAAAGATAACATTCCTGCGTATGAACGATAAAATAAACCTAGTGATATGTTAAAAGTAGGAATTATTATACATGTGAAATCGCTGGTGGAACCATCGCGTGCATGATGTAAGGCTCCTGCTCCTGGTCTTATTTGTGCACTTATGTAAGCCGACTTCGGTACATCAGAGATCAGAAAATCACTAGACAGAAATGATTGAACTGGTTAATTCAATACTTGACTTAACTAATAAAGTTTAATGACGGAAAGTCGGGCTAAAATTGCTTAACAGCACCAGACAGAGTTGGAACCTCTAAGCTAAACAAATGAAACTGCTTACATCAAAGCTGTTGACCGCCTCGGGAACAACAATCAGGTAACGCGACCGCTGCGAGCTTTTTGCGCCGGCCTTTCCTGAACGTATAGCCGGCAGAAGTCTGAGCAGACGATCATAGTATTCTAGGAGGTTTTTTCCGACTGGACTGCGAGTTATCAAGATGACGTCGACGTTCGCGTCTGGGAAAAAAATTGGCTGTTGTATGCTAAGATCTTATCATAATGAATATCCTTTGAGGGCTCACACGGCTGCCTATTCTCCTACTTCAATGATCGTGAAAGGAACTCTCCGAGGTATGCAGCTTATATTATGTTTCGAAAAGTGGACATCCTTACCGCATAGAATAAGGACGTTATTGCCTTAACAAGAAACTGCTATCGGCATTGCCTCTAGCTTGTTAGCATACTTGAGGGAAGAGGCTTGCTGGCATTAGGTTATCAAATACTCACTAATTTGGATGTTTATTCATTGTCTTACGGACACTATACAGACCATCACATGTCACGTGGTCATGAGCATTATGTAAACAATAAAAACGAACTTGCGAGTCCCAGGAAGTACTTGAGAAGAAGACGACTCGATCGTTGGGATAATACTTTTATTCGCCTGACGTCAAGCGAATAAAAGTATTGTCCCGGCGATCGAGTTATCTTCTTCGTAATTATGTAAACAACACACGAATGCTTATATCTGCAAAATCTAAATTTTGTTCCTTAGTTGTACATTGTATTCGTAGATAATCATGTAGTAGATTACCTCGAATGTCGCAAAGACGTCCAAAATGATGACTTTCAAGTGTGTTTAGTTCACCTGCCTTCTGAAGAATAGACCGTTGTTGCTGTGTTAAAGAAACCGAGGCCAGATGAATGATGACTCTTTTACTTGCTTTGAATTCTTCCCAGTTGTTTCCCAGTTCCTGAAATGAGGGAATATTGAACCAATAGCAGTTTCACTCTTGTTTCGAAGGCTACAAGACGGGTATTTTTATACCTATGTAAATTGTTTTCTTCAAGGGGAAATAGTGCGTAGTAACCAAAAGAGAACCAGATAAATAACGTATAGAGTAAGCATGCAGTAAGTTAAAAACTAATAACTCTATTCGATCGCTTTCTATAATTTTCCTGACTCTTCATTGATAGAGCCGATATATATTTATATAATAGTATGGCGCTCATCAATCTGGTGAGGGAAAATGAATGCTCTGTTTTTTGTCCTGGAACCCACTTTAGAATCTTTGCAGAACCTACAGTCACATAGCGTTATCTACAATATGTTGAAGTGAAACCGGCAAAGATAAGGAAGACCGGAATTACCATTTCTGGTTTATTAGCCGTCAGCAGCCAGTCATACCCAATCCCAGGGGAGACGACCCCTGAGATTAAAACCCGGGACCCTTGGTCATTAGATGCAGAACACTACCATCGCACCACTGGCTCGTTTTTTTGTCAGTTGAAACAGCGAAAATACTGAATGGTAGAACGGTCACCGGTCTATGTGGTTATGGAACATACTCGGAACGATTTGCCTTAGAATTCAATCTATAGCCTCTGTAGGCAGTCGCATAGCGACTTGTTATAAGTTATGAAATGGAACAGACAAAGACAAGGGCAGCAAGAATTCTCATTTCCTTAAAGGAAAGTAGTATGTAGCGGACAAAAGAACCCCAGATAAAGTAAGCCTACAATAATTTAAAAACAGATAACAACATGAATGTATATGTTTCGCCGATATAGTAGAGGAAAATTAAGTTCCGCTTTGCCCAGGAGCTCTCAAAGCAAACCCACCAGACCGTCGCATAGTGACTATGATGATATGATGAAGATAAAAATATTATATTTTTTTGCGGAATGTCCCTGGTTCTTCATTAATCAAGCTAATATATACATTTTTAAAGAACTTGGTCAGTCACGTATCCCATATTTGGCAGTTAACCTGACATCGAAAATCGATTGACAAAATATACGTAGAAATCAATTTCCAGTTAACTTTTTGTTAAACACATTGACACTGTAGATTGTATATCTGATAAAATTTGAAGATCAAAATTTGAGTGGGTGATTTAATATGCATTTGAGGTTGCCTATTTTGTTCATTGAGTTGAATTGTGGTGCAAAATGCTGTTTACTAGAAAATAAATCAGTTCTGATCAGCATACTGGGGAAAAAATGAGGGCAGATAGAGCCAAATTGAACGTTTGTTTATATCCAAGGGATTTCCTAAGCTATTAAACGCTGCGGAACAAAAGGTCTTGTTTGGGCACGTTGGATAATAATGACACATTAATAAAAAACAGAAACTTTTTAGTTATATATGTTCAGAGAACAGACAAATTGTTTAGCTTTCATGAAATTGAGGCAAGTCCAGTAATTCGATAATACATTATTGTTGGGAAAAGAAGAGCGATGTGAGTTTAGAAAATATCATTTTGCAAATGTGCTAAGTTTTGGGATATAAAATGAGGTAATAAACTTATGAGGCTATACCCAACCGAAAATATCGACCGCAAACAAGCATATATAAAACACCCTAAACATGGCATCAATTTTCACTATCAAACCATATGCAAAATATGTCCGAGCATCTTTTATCTATAGAGCAGTATCGATGGATAGAAAAGTTTGAAACGGAACGGACAGAAGAGCATTAGTTTTCTCAAAATCGTCGTTGATATTTTGTCAATTTGTTCTGTTTTTGTTATTATAGAACTGAGCCTAGAAGTAAACAAATATACTGAAAACTGCTGCGGTTTACGTAGAAAAGTCAGCTCTTTCATTTACAATATAAGATGTATCCCTAATTTTAGGGAAGTCAAAAAACTGGCCAAAATTCCCCATTCTGATCTTGATGTAATCTTAAAAAAACTAAAGTACGCAGACATTTGAAATAAAAAACTCAAGTGCTTTTTCAAGAGATAACTTGTTATATAATTTTTTAAATCAATCTTAGGCATATTCATTCGCGACTCTTGTTGTGGACGTTCATGTTTTTCTGAAATGAACTGACATATTTGGGCGATTCAGAAGAGTATTTGGCGAGCATAGTAACTTTCGATAAATTCTCTTCGGGCCGTTACATTTATATAGGGAGGGGCTATAAAGTAACATGCCGGTAAGTATGTTATCACAAAACGCAAATTAGTCATGGGGATAGGGTAAGGAGCGTGGGGTTGATAATAATCAGTTGGTTACAAGTTGATGAGGGTTTGTTGAGTCCGGACAGAAGATGGGGGGTGTTGAAGTGGTAGAAAGAGCGAAAAGATGCAGGTAGTTACGTAGCCGTCGGCCATGCCAAGCTCGGGGCTTGCAAGAGGTTCTTCTGCGCGCACAAAACCGGCTTCTTTAACCGGATCGCGGTTGCTTCTGCAGTTGCTAGCAAACGCTGACCCAGGAAGTTTAGGTAGTTTGACGGGACCTTGTAAATTACCTTAAAGGCTTCGCTGGGGTCCACACGATGTCCGGAACCAACCATGTGAGCAAGGATGGAGCTATTGATGCTTTTGACTTCGCCTTTGGCCAGCCATTCCGGGAGGTGCTCCCGTATTCTTTTTGA